CAGGCATGCTGAAGGATTACTGTGTGATCACTTAGGAAGAAAGCAATTGAATTTGGGACAGCTTGTCATGAAAGACTTTTTTTAAAAAAAAAAAAAAAAACATCAACTGAGACAAAAACATAACTTATATTAAGGATTACTATTTTCAGAGCTTATCACTGAAACCTCTTTTAAATTGTATTCAGCTAGCATGTGGTTTTCTACTTTTTAAGTAAAGTTAAAACTGGCATAGGAACTTCAGAGGAACAGAGCCAAATGTGTTGTAGAGCGTGTATATAAAAATAATTATATATACAGATCATCTAAGACTTATGATAGAAATCCAGTTCTTCTTAAGCCATTTGTTGCTTTCATGAGATAAATGCTTAATTTAGTATATAGATGCATCTCAGGGACATCCACGTAGACATTTTGTTCTCATCAGAAATATTATGCATTCAAAAAACAAAATCTTGTCTTCCTATTTTTACCTGGTATCTTTTGAGTATGGGGAAATAGTGTGTTTTATCACAGGTAACAGATGTAAAGTTCCCAAAATATACATCTGGTGCCTTTCTGAAGTTAGATGCCTTCTGAACTACTTAATATTTTTTCTTAATTATGTTTTAAAGCTATCATTAGACTGTTTTTCATAGTCACTCCAGTGTCTCTCTTTAAAGCAAAACAAGGTGTTATGATCCAAAGATGTATTGCGCTGGGAATGCAGGTGATGCAATCCTAACTGAGAGTGCCTGTTAGCCTCAGTTGCTAATTTAGGTGCAAAGGCTATAAGGAAGAAACCTATTCTGTCTACCAGGGGAAGGTATAAAGAAAAAATATCTAGTCATTCCAAAATACTGCTACCTGGGCCAGACCTCTTACTAGCCGGTGATTTGAAGTGAAAAACTTTATTAAAGTTAGCAATGTGAAAAGAAACCTATGTAGAGCCCTCCAAAATGTGCAGGTTACAATTGATTCTAAGCAATTAGTTCATACCAGCAGGTGTCCTGGTGACTTCTTTTGCTAATAGCAAAATCTCCCTAAGCCTCAGTTGAGCCCTTTGCTCATGCATTATATGCCCTACTACTCTCAGTGGTGTTTGTGCCTTCTGGAAAAACTGAACTGAAATACAAATTCCAGGTGGGGATTAAGTAAAAGGAATATGCTAGATTTGGGTAATTCTCAAAAGAGCAGTTTAACCAGGTTGTTCAACTTTTATTTTTCTCAAGTTATGTGGATTGCCAAAATTAGACGGGCCTTCTTTAGTTGTGGGAATGGCACAGGATGGACAGAGAGCAGAGGCTTCTCTGCTGTCCCATCTGGTGTGCATTAGGTTTGTATTGGATGGATGAATTACATCTAGTACTCAGAGGAGTTGAACAACCTTTCAGTGTTTGGTGTGTCAGATCACTAGACATGATGCCAAATGGGATGATGATTCCTGTCTTCTAGAGACAGGGCTGAAGTAGCTAATTTGCTTTTCATAATTAACTAATATCCATTGTCCCATGGTAACACACTTGGGTGCTAGAGTACTGGATTTAATCTGGTGTCCTGAAAGTGAAAAACACCATCTCCTCAAAGAATCCAGTTTCTCACTTTCCCTGTACCCCCTTTTTAAAAGTATTTTTGAAATAAAACATGGCGCAAAACAGGGCACATCTTACGTTTGATGCACTAGTGTGAAAATCTATTTTAAACTAAGTATTAGAGCCAAGTTGAAAACGCTGCTGGAATGACTTGCTGGTAATTATAATGTACTTCAGTGTAATGTGCAATATATTTTTTCTAATTAAAATTTCATTGTATGTTTAATTGTTGTCAAATGTATTTAACTGGGGGGGAGGGAAAAGATTTGTAAGAGGACCAAATGTTCTTTTATAAATGTCCAAAGAAATTTTGTCAGAATTGCTTAAAATGAGATTTTACAAACTTGTATTAAAAAAAAAAAAAAAAAAGCTATCTTTGACTTTTCTTCCCCCCCTCCCCTTTGCATGGGGTAGGGTAATACAAAGTATAAACCATGTAACTTTGGGAGTTCCATGGTGCAGTTTGCAGATTACACTTCATTCCTTTCATGGACTGTGTGGTATGCATACTTCACCCCCACCCTGTTTGTCTTTCCCAAGTCTGGCTTTTTGTTGGCTGGGAGCGCTAGAGTAGGTTATGAAGTGGAATACAGTGTGGGAGGGGAGGGGCGGGGGACCAGCTTTTGAGCCTACTCCCCCACACCTTGTTGCTTCTGATTAGAGGCAGTAAGGGGTAGGGTGGGGAATGTGAGTAGCCAGCTACTCCTTTACATTCCTAGTTTGTGTCCCTACATATGCTTGGTGTTACATTATTCCCTGAAGTATGTACAAAGCAATACCCGCAGTCTCTTATCTCATGGTATGAAGTAGGAGTGCTGGAGCCTCAGATGTTGTCCAAGGCACGAGAAGGTCACATGCTTTACCCAGTGCAGGAAGACCACTTGGGCTGGGGTCTGGCCCATTGAAGGGGCTCTTCCTAAAGTCTGTTAGAAATCTGGGGGGACTGCACTGATCATGTTGATCCATGACCCAGGTAAAATCAATAGTCTAGAAATGTACTAAAAGTCCCCATACTGGGAGAGCCCTATCTCTTGCTATAGCCCTGTGTGTCATCCTTTTGGATAATATGAGCAAAGGGAAGCATAGAATGGATATTTCTGCTACTAGCAGTGCTGGGGAAATTGAAAGCCTATTCTGCTCACACAATACATGGGGAACGTTTAGCTTGTTCTGCAATATTAGCACAGTACCAGTGGTAGACTCAGGTAGAAAAATACCAACAATCACCATATTCCTGTCCCATGTTGGATTCATGGTGGAGAGGGAGAAGTTGAATTTTCACATGGCAAACTTAACCAGAGGTCAAGTCCTGTTGTTCTGCCATGAAACTGAGACTATCTAATCCCTGGCCACTGTTCTGCCCTCCACCCCAAGAGGAATGGGTTACCTTGGGAGGCGGTGGCATCTTCATCCCTAGAGGTGTTTAAGTCTCGACATTTACATTACTAAAGTGTAAATTCCATTTGTTCATGGGAAAAGAGAGCCTTTTCTGTATGTTCCTGCTTGCCTTCCTTCCTGGGCTATATCTTCTACTGCTTTGGTGTGTCCCTATTCTCCACTTTTCCTGCTTCACCTTTCTATCAGTAAAAGCAACTTTAAATCCCTCCAGTGTATCATTGACAATCTACAACCTTGCCTGGAAAACAATCTCTCACTCTCGCAGGCCTTGGGAGATAGGCCAGTCGGTGCCTACGGACAATCCACTAACTTGAAGGAAATACTTTCTGGCAGCCCCACATTGCACCTCAGGTAGACTCACCCAGGAACCTGTCCCAGCAACAAATCCTGGTGCCAGTTCTCCACACATTTGTACTCACCCAGGAACCTGTCCCAGCAACAAATCCTGGTGCCAGTTTTCCACACATTTGTACAAGTGACACTTACAAGACCTAACCATGTAAGCCATGTCACCAGAGGCTCATACAACTTCACATCCTCTGATGTGATCTGTCACCTCGTGCCAACAATGCCCCTCTGCCATATTGGCCAAACTTGACAGTCTCTGACAAAAGATAAATAATTAACTTAGAAAACAAACGGTCTGGTAGCACTTTATAGACTAACAAAACGTGGTGGTATGAGTTTTTGAGAGCACAGCATACTTATTCAGATGGACACCAGTCAGACATTAGAAATGGTAACACAAACATGTAGAGGAACATTTTAACCCACCTCTGCACTCTATCAAGGGTTTAAAAGTAGCCATTCTTCTACACAGGAATTTCACCAGCCAATTCGAGGAAGTAAATGTGGAATTGACATTCATCTGTAAATGACACTGTTGCCATGGGCTTGAACAAAGACATTAACTGAAAGCTGTGTTATAAAGACAGCCTTCCCAGCTTTTCCTGTAAAGAGGTTGAATGCTAAGTAGGAGATATTTCCAGCCTAATAATTAGTCTCATTAACATGGGTCCTACAATTGACAAGTATCTTCCCCCCTCCCATCTTTTTTTGCAATACATTCTGGGTTTTTTTTTATCCTCCAGATCATTTAATAGTGTTTTGTCCACAAAAGCTCATGATACTGCATATTTTTGTTAGTCTCTAAGGTGTAACAGGGCTACTTGTTTTTTCAGTTGCCATGTTTGGGTTCCACTGCAAAATTACAGTAGGGGGGATTGGCAGAGGAACCCTCCTATGTCATACAAAGCTGTTGCTCTCCGCTTCAGGCCATTCAGTGAATGTACTTTTCTTGCCCTGCTCAGTAAGCTATTTTCTTGCTCCTTGGCTGCCTACAGCAGGCTGTCATTGAAGGTATGGGACAGCTCCTAACCATGACAGGAAGAGGATGATTGCAAGTGAGTGTGGTTTCTGTAGTGATACTGCTTTCTTTCTTTCTACTCCTTACTTGTGGTGGAGGAGAAAAATACCTATCCAACTAGACGCTGTAGTGTTATAGCATAGTGACTCCTGTATTTATGACCTGCAGGCTCTTCATCACAGCTACTAGGCCTAAAACTGGGCTACCTGAAAAAAGGCCAGCAGCCCATACACTTAGCAAGACAGGCTGCTGTTCACATTTCTCCCTGCCTTCTCTCCCTACTGAAGAGAGAGAGAGCCTGATTCCAGGTTTATCTGATATTCAAAGTCTCAGGGGAATCATCAAGTGTCTTGTAAAAAATGCTATAACTGCACAGCCCTGACCACCTGCTGGAGCCATGAAACTCTTGATATCTGGACTCCTGCAGGTGTAAGTGACAGGATTTTTCCAGGTGCTGGATCCACATTCTGGAACTTTTGCAAAGCTAAGAATAACCATGTCCTTTGGTAGCATTCAGGCCTAAAGCCAAAATCCTAGTTCTTTGAGGCAGTGTTCCATCAATTCCTATACCCACCCCTCCAGCCAATCACTGGCTGGTACACACATAATCAATTCCAAAACCCTATGAAACCGGTCAAGTGGCTTC